GGTTCATCAACTCCATGAATGCTGCTAGGGCATTGGTCAACCCAAACAACATGACCAGGAACTCATAATGCCCGTACCGAGTGCGGAATGCTGTCTTAGGGACATCGGACGCCCAAATCCTCAGCTGATGGTAGCCAGATCTCAAGTCTATCTTTGAAAACACCTTTGCACCTGAAGCTGGTCGAACAAATCGTCAATCCTCGGCAGTGGATACTTGTTCTTAATTGTCACTTTATTCAATTGCCGGTTAATCAATGCACATTCTCATTTGAACCATCCTTTTTCTTCCAAATAACACCGGCGCACCCCAAGGCGAAACGTTGGGTCTGATGAAACCCTTCTCAAGTAAATCCTGCAACTGATCCTTTAAACTCTTTCAAACTCATAGCGGGGCCATGCGATACGCGGGATAGAAATAGGCTGAGTGCCCGGAGCCAGATCAATCAAAAAATCAATATCCCCTGTCGGCGGCATACCCGGCAGGTCTGAAGGAAAACCTCGGGAACTCCGGACAATAGGAATAGAATCAATAAAAGGGACCTCTGCGCTGGAATCGCGGAACATACGCCAGATAAGCAAAACACCCCTCTCGACCATGCGTCAAGCCTTCATATATGAGATAACACTGCGAGTGGTATGCCCTGGGGTCCCTCTCCACTCCAAACGGGGCAAATCTGGCAAAGCCAAGGTCACGGTCTGGGCGTGACAATCCAAGATAGCATGATACGGGGACCACCAATCCATCCCTAATATAACGGTCAAAAATCCACCATGTCTAAGAGCAATAAATCGACACGGGTCTCATATCCTCAAACACTACCACACAAGAGGACGATGAACTCGTCGACCACTATAGAATCACCCACCGGTGTAGATACATAGATAGGAATACTCAAAGCATCACTAGGCATGACCAAGTGGTGCAAAATAGGACGACACATACGAATACGTTAGACCCAGGGTCAATTAGCACGAAGCATCTCTATCACAAATCAGAATAATATTTGTAATGTCTGCACCTGAAGACTCAGCCTCTGGCCTGGCTGCTGGCTGGCCTCTACCTCTGGCGGCCTGAACTCCACCTCTATGACTTCTACCTCCACCTCAACACCTCTGTCACTGCCTCTAGCTGGCTGGCAGGCTGTGGAACTCGGTGCCTGAATCCTAGCATGAGAAGCTTCTGATGCGGAGAGCTGCCATAAACTAGAGGGCAATATCTGACGATGTGCCTCGGATCACCACAAGCATGGCAAGACCTCGTCTGCTGCGGCTGAGCACCCTCAACCTCGGCAAACCCTCCTGTTATGACCATACTTCACACACTCACAACATCTACACGAACGCTGCAGCTGAGAAACTGAGCTGACCCTGTCGACCGAATGACCACCTGAAGTACCATGAGTTGACCTGTAGAGCTGACTGAAAGGGCCTAGGAGGATGGCTCTTACCATAAGAACCTCTACCTCAAACGAAGGGTACCACTGAAATCTGCCTGCAGACGGGGCCTCTTACCCGAACCATGACCACCTCCCTGTGGCAGAACCACCTCAACTCTAGGTCCACATCGGCGCTCCTGAAAAGTAATCTCACCCCGACCTGAGCCACTGTACCGGCTGACCTGCCACCGCTGCTGAACTCTTGGAAGCAAACCCGCTCGAATTACGCCCTGCACAAAGCCTACCAACCTGACCAAAGCGTCCTGAAGAACTGGGGTGGCTATGAACCCCTCTGGGACCTGAGCTGGGCCCACCGGAGCTGCTGGAGCTGGGATCTCCTCGTCATAACCAATCTGAGGCTCCACCTCTGGGGCTGCTGCTCGGCGCTGAACTCTGCCCCTGCCTCGGCCTCGCCTCTGCCCCTCGTAGGAGCTGCTGCTGGGGCTCGGGCCTGCTGCGCGTAGAAGAGGAAGCACGTATTCTCGCCATCTGCGAAAGAACAGAGTAGAAAGACAAGCAGTATTTGAGAAACGGAATCGCACGATAAGAAAGAACACAAAAGTGAAATTTTCCAACTCTGTAGCCTCTGGGGGATAAATACATACGTCTCCGTATCGATCCCTCAGACTTTACCGAGTTTGTCCGTGAGTTGCGAGAACCTATGTAACTAAGTGCTCTGATACCCAACTTGTCACGACCCGAATTTCCCACCTCGGGAGTCGTGATGGCGCCTACTAATAGGAGCTAGGCAAGCCAACTTAATTTACTTCTTTAGCAATTTATCGTCCATTTAATGAAAACAAAACATAAACATGATAAAGCGAAGTCTCAAATATAATTAACTGAAAGGAATGCGGAAGTTCCATTACAACCTCTACCCAAGACTGGAGTCACTAACTCACGAACGTCTATAGAATACTAAAAACAAAGTCTGAATAAAATACAATATTGTTTGTTCCGGTACAAGGACAACAAACGAAATAAGGATAGAAGAGACTCCGGCCATGCAGACGTCAACAAGGCTACCTCGAATCTCTGGACTAAAGACACTCCCAACGCTCCTACTGCTGTCCAAAAGTTGCTACTCCGACGCTGTGATCTGTGCAAAAAGATGCATAGAGTGTAGCATCAGCACAACCGACCCCAATGTGCTGGTTTAAGTGCCTAGCCTAAACCTCGGCGAAGTAGTGACGAGAGCTAGACCAGACTACCAGAATAAACCTATGCAGATATATATATATTTAAAAGTACAACAAAAATAATAGCGGAAGTAAGCAATTAAAGCTGGGAGGGGGAACATGCTTATGGAAGGTAAACAGATAAAACGAAATATCAGGAATAACAATAGGGACTACAACTGATTTCTTCTAACACAGAATAAGGGAAAACAAACCACTTTCACTTTGTTTCAATTTCCTCTTGTTTGCAGGTGTGCAACTCGATCCATTTCTAATATCACGTGGTAGGCGTACCACTCGATCCCATTTCATAATATCACGTGGTAGGCGTACCACTCGATCCCATTTCTTCAACACAACACACAATAAAATCCCGGCAAGGGAGAAAGATATTATAATAAACTATCCCGACAAGGGAACAAGATAACATAATAAACTATCCCGGCAAGGGAACAAGATAATATAATAAACTATCCCGGCAAGGGAGATCCAGCTATAACCAAACTTATTCAATTTCTACTTAACACAATTAAATCGATACTCAGTCTCAACTATTACTGGCTCAGTGTTAAATATTTCCAACCAAGTCCTCATAAACAACAATTAAGAATTCGATAATTTAGCAATTTAGGACTCACGGTCATGCTCGACACCAGTGTATAGATACTCGTCACCATGCCTATACACCGTACTCGACAAATAGTAATTAGCAAATAAGACTCTACTCCTATTCCCTCAAGCCAAAGTTAGACCAAACACTTACCTCAAATGCTCCAAACTCAACTCAAGCCTCGAGTATTGCTTTACCCTTCGAATTCACCACCAAACCGCTCGAATCTAGTCACAAATTACTTGAATGTATCAACAAATGCTAATCGAATCAATTTGAATGCATGAAAATGAATTTTCCAAAGTTTTACTCAAAAATTTCCAAAACGCCCCTGGGCTCACGTGGTAAAAACCCGAGGTTCAACCAAAACCCGGTTACCCATTCCCCCACGAGTTCATATCTATGATTAGTTTTGAAATCGAACCTCAAATTGAGGTCCAACTCCCCAATTTGAAGAAAACCTAGGTTCTACCCAAAATCCTCATTTTCACCCATGAAAATCCTTGATTTTAAGATGAAAACATGTTTAATGATGTAAATGATTGAAGGGATTAAGTAAAAATTAACTTACAAATGATTTGGAGAAGATAAGTTTCTTGAAAAATCGCCTATGGAGTGTTTGAGTTTGAAAGAATGAAGAAATGGGTTGAAAATTCGTCTAAGTATGAAAAATGCAGGTTGCAGGTATGGGAATTGCGTACTGGGGTCCGAAATTGCGAACCCCGACCTGCTAACTTGGGAAATGCGAGATTTGGTTCGCATTTGCGAACTCTGACGATGGCTGTGACTTTCGCATTTGCGAGTCCTTTTATCGCATTTGCGAAGGCTCCTCATCGCATTTGCGGACTGTTTGTTCGCATTTGCGACCCATGTGCAGGTGCTCCCTTTCTCGCATTTGCGGTCCTGGACTCGCATTTGCGAGAAATTCTTCGCAAATGCGAAGATACCAGATCTGACCTGCAACATTTTTTTCCAAAGTTCAAAAATGCAACTCGTGGCCTATCTAAAACTCACCCAAGCCCTCGGGGCTCCAAACCAAATATGCACACAACCTCAAAAACATCCTACGGACTTACTCGTGCGATCAAATCGCCAAAATAACGTCATATACATAGAATCAAGCCTCAAATCACATGATTTCTTCCAACTTTTCATAAAACACAAATTTTTCATTTTTAAGTCCGAAACTCAAATGACGTCCGTTTTCAACCAAACTTTACAGAAAGCGCTTACATCACATATGAGACTTGTACCAGGCGTCGGAACCAAAATACGAGCCCGATACCATAGTCTTCTGATCAAATTTTCTTTCCATTTTCCTTAATTAATTTCAGAAAATAATTTCACACAAAAATTCATTTCTCGGGCTTGGGATCTCGGAATTCGATTCCGGGCATACGCCCAAGTCCCATATTTTTCTATGGAACCCTCCGGGACCGTCAAATCACGGGTCCGGGTCCGTTTACCCAAAATGTTGACCAAAGTCAAGTTTAACCATATTAATATCAAAATTTAGCATTTTTCACACAGAATTCATATTTAAGCTTTCCGGCTACGCGTCCGGACTGCGCACGCAATTCGAGGCGACCCTAAATGAGGTTTTCGAGGCCTCGAAAGCACGGAATGAATAAGAAAACAGGTGATGACCCTTTGGGTCGTCACACCTTCCATCTTAATTTATGTTATACATATTTAACGGGATATGAGTTTGAAAAAATAATTGCCAATAGGGACGGAGCTAGAAGCCGAAGTACGAATTCGGCCGAACCCAGTAACTTTTGTCCAAACTCTATATGTATTAAGAAATTCACTTAAAATATGTACAAAAATAAAATTTAGAACCTAGTAACCAACACCTTATGTCACTATCTTAGAATTAAGAACCCATAAAGTTCAGACTCCGCCTCTGATTACCAAAGCTGTGAAATAGTAAAATAGTCACAGCAAGAAATCCATGAACTTAGGCCAAGGCAAGGCTATACTGACATCAGTATCAGCTTGTTTTGTACATCTTGAAGACGACACCGTTAAGTCACCACCGATCGAAGTTTCAGCGCCTAACTTTTTGGGGCACAGAAAGAAGTTTCTGGACCCTAACGCCGTTAGCTCCTCCGCTCTGTCCAAACCTGGACCCACCAATCATGTATAACAAAAAATAATTAATCAATTCGCTATCCAATGAAATGGTAGTAATTTAGACGGCTCAATTTAACGGTAAATATTGAAGAAAGCACAATCGAACGGCTCTTACTTTCTAAGCTGAACTGCGAGAAGTGAAGATCGTAATCGGAGGAGACCGCGGAGTAAAGTGCCGGACGTCTTCCTTCCTTCGAGTATTGCCGTATAACGGCGGCGATAAGATCATGTACAGTTGATTCCGGTGATATCAGCACATGAACGGGACCTAAACTCCTCTGAATCGTCACATTCAACAGTAACTTCGTCAACTTCAGCCTAACCTGCATCCCGGCAGAGCTACCAGCAGAAGGTCCTATGCCGGAGAACAAGTTCGGAACAGTTCTAGGCCTTCGCGACATCTCGGAAGTGCTCCCTGAGATATCTCCGTGCAACGACAAGGATTTCTCCGGCAACTTCCCCTTCCGAATCTTCTCCTCGATGACTCTCCGGTGACTTCTTGGAGACGGCATAACAGTATAAGAGTATCTGTCTGTTTGTATGTATATGTTATAGGTTTACAGATGGTTTATCAGTTGTTACCTGAGGCGGCGGCGGCGGAAAAAATGTGACGGCGGAAGCCGAGTGGAGGAATGGAGAGGTGGCTCTCAGTTCGCCGGCGACGGCGTTATCATAACAAGAGCGGTAGAATCGTAAGTAAGAAAGAAGCAGAGCAAATATACAGCTCATCAATCAGCGGGAAGCAGGAATAGGCCTATTTATTTGGGGAAATGAATATAAGGAGCTTTAGCATTATTGGGTCAACCTATAACCGAGTAATGTCGGTCGCCCTAGGCAACAAAGTCTTCTATTGACAGCGAAAGGGCTCGTGGGTAACTACCGGTTACCTGTTGATATAACTGTAAACGGTAAGGCGACGATAATTTGTAATGTACGCGGAGAGGTTAGGAGTGGAGTAAAGTTTGTTCATTGAGGTTAGGAAGTGACACGTGCGAGATACTTCAGTGGTTCGACATATTATGCGGCTGTTAGTATTGAAATAGACGTCCTGGGACCTTTCACACATTTGGTGACCAGATTTGCAGCATTAATAAGCAAAGAAAGCGAACTTTCTCCTTAATTTTCACATAATATGAGTAGGGGTGTTCATAAAAATCCGAAAAATCGAACCAAATCGAAAATCAAATCAAATCGATCAAAAAAATCGACACTTTTTGGTTTGGTTTGGTTTTGGTTTTGAATTTTAAAAACCAATCAAATTTGGTTTGGTTTTGGTTTTAATTAAAAAAAACGGAAAAAACGAACTAAACCAACTATAGGAGTAACTATTTCAAATTAATTATTACACCTATATATATTTTTATTTTTATATAAAGTTTCAAAAATTTTATGGTGAATGTTAATCGTTTGCACTTTTAGTACAGTTTTTAACCTTTATATTCTAGTTTGATGGGTAGTTTTCTTTTGTTAAGTGTAAGAATCCATTTCATGTTAAAAAAATATTTTTAATTGAGTCTTTAAATTATTCATCACTATTTGATTCAATTACCATCAATATATTTTAGTAAATAATAGATTTCTCAAAGGGCAATTGATTTGATAGTGTTAGGTTGAAAATGTGATCGCCGGAATATGTGTTTGGTAGTGTATGTCTTATATTTAAGAAAAAATGCCGATTATAACCAAAAAAACCGAAAAACCGACAAAACTCGACATAAACCGAATCGAGAAAAAATCGACTTAATTGGTTTGGTTTGGTTCTAATATTTAAAAACCGACTTACTTGGTTTGGTTTCTTTTTAGGGGAAAACCGATCCAAACCGAACCATGAACATCCCTAAATATGAGTAATTAAGGATAATATAATACTGCCTCTATCCGATTTATGTTATACTTGCCTTTTTAATTTGTATTTCATATTTTTTTATTTATAAATAATTTAACTTTATACTTCCTAGTTTATCCTTAGTGAAGTAATTTACAGCCAACACAAATGGTACTATTTGTACATCATGTCCCTTTACAATTTTGAATTTAAGAAAACACACAAATGTTCATAGTCTGTTTTACTACACATATTTAAAAAAAATTCTTTTTTTCATAAACTCTAATCGAGTCAAATATCGCCATCTAAATTGGGACGGAGGGATTACTAGTCAAGATGGAATTTTGAGTTCAAATAATATTTTGCTTTAATATTATTGCTCTTGTATTTAAGTATTCTAGTACGTAATCTTGGTGTAAAAAAGTTAAGAAAATTGAAAATTCGAATCCGCACCAAATATTCATGCATTAACTATTGTACTCCAATATTTTATTACTTAAGTATCATAACAGTCAGCCGAATGAAAAGAGAGAAAAAGATACAGATTAAGTACTGTTTACTTAAAAAATTATGAATCAATAAAAGATTTAAAAGATAAGTTTTAAGCACATAACATAAATTATCTGAATCTCGCTTAAAGTATGGCTTGATAAGATATTCCCGAATCTTAAAAGAAATTTAATACTATATGAAATTCTATTGCATATGGGAAGACTGATTGATTAGACGAAAGATAAAACAAATAATTTAGTCAATATTACAATGTTCCACGTGATATATAGTTTAAATAGTTCATAGCTAGGAGGCAGAAATTAGAATACGAAATAAAAGGATCACAAGGACGGTGATACGAGCTGTTTAATCAAGCGAACAACAGTGTAAACACTAGAAATTAAGAGTATTATTTAATTTATAAACTGTTCATTTTCACTATAAGTACTTTTTACAGGAATTTGGGTTTCTTCTTCCTCATTTTCTCCCCTCCCAGATGGATTAGTTCAACCATTCCAGACCTTAAAAAACTAAAAGCAAGTCGCATGCTTCATTTAAGAATATAAATTACTTTAGCTAACTTAAGTGTTCATCAAGAAGCTCCATACTTGTCAAAACCGAAAAAATGAAAAAAATAATATTTTGTTGGAGAAGTTAAATATTATCCTCGTGAAGTTTGCTTTTGCACTCAAATGGTTAGACAACTTTTTAAACTTTACACCCCAAAATTTTGGTTTAAAAATCAAACTTTTCGTGTTTGAACAATTATCATTCTCCCCCTTATTTCTCAATTGACTTTTTAAAATACCTATTTTAACCTCTATATTGTCAATATTTATCTCTTTACGCTTAGCTTATTTTATTTTATTTTATTTTATTTTTGTTACCTTTTTAGTATCATGATATTTTTCGTTTTTCTAGTACTATGCTATGAAGTTACCTATGTAATGGCTTAATTTTGTTTTTAAAATGAAAAATAAAAAATGATAACCAAGTATATACTTCATTGATGTTGAATAATAAAAAGATGAGCAAAATAAAAATTAAAATAAAATAATTTTCTTTTATAAATAACTGTATTCATAACAATCAAATTTCAAAAATATGTTTACATAATCGAGAATAAAAAATGATGAGAATTTTATAAACATATCCTCAATGTAAGTAATATAAAATTTTATAATTATTAAAAGTAAAAGCAGATTTTGTAACAAACTCCTAGAGGATAAGTCTATTTATCACTGATAAATGGTAACTTAAATATATACTTAATGCGCGTGATATTATGAAGGAATACCGAATAATCTCTTGGGAGCTAGTATGTCCTTTCAGTTCTGGTATGGGGAAGGCCGGTCTAATGTGACAAATAATACAAAGGATATTCAAATTTATATTATAATTTATAATAAGGTATAATATCATTTAAATTATAGAAAAAATTATAAAAAATAGCATGTAAAATAAAAAAGAGTATTACACATAGAGGAGGAAATTGAAAAATAACAAGTGCAAAATAGATATTGTGTAGGATAGGGGGGGGGGGATGCTAATTTTTCAATATTAAGGGGCGAGTTTGATTTTTAAATCAAAGTTAAGGGGAGTAAATGATTTTCACCCCGGTAAAAATACTCAATGGTAACCTAATATTCTTTTCTCAAGAAATTATTCAACGGCAAAAGGCCAAAAATAGTCCTGTACTTTTGAAAATGGTCTAAGAATATCCCTCGTTATACTATTGGACTATCTATACCCCCACCGTCATACTTTGGAACAAAAATACCCCTATTTTGGATCATCTATACTCCTACAGGGTATATTTGACCCTTTGCCGATTATTCAAAGGTAGGGAAAATTTGAAAACTGTTATGAAACAATAAAAGAAGAAGAAGAGTATTGCAGGGAGAGAGAATTCTTATTGATTTGTGATGAATTACAATGGAATAGGACCCCTCTATTTATAGGGAAAGAGTGACTTAGCCACCAAGTAAAATCCCTAAAATATAGACATTTACCATAAACAAAATACTATTTATAACATTCCTCCTTGAATGTCTATCCAACAGATAATGTGCCTCATTAAAACCTTAACTAAAATAAAATCAGTGGGAAAAAATTCTATAGAATGAAAAAGAGTACAAATATTTAGAAATACGCTTTTTGGTTGCCTCGTTAAAAATCTTGCAAGAAAAACCCAGTGGGACAAAATCTTGTAAGGAAAAAGAGTACAACGCGTATTAACTCCCCCTGATGAGACTATCCATTCACATCTTTGAGCCTTCATATTCTGATCTTGTGCGTCATCTTCAAAAGATCGTTGTAAGAGATTTGATAAACGAATCAGCCATATTATCTTGAATAAATATGTTACACCTTGAAATCATCATTGATAGATATGTAATGTCTTCATATAATGTTATGGAATGGCCTTTTCAATATCTCCATATAGGTAAAAATTTGTACTATTATATTATCATGCTTATAGTTATAGCAAGATACAAATATGCACAAATTGCACTTAGGATGTAGTACTTTATGACCAAGAATTGTATATACTTTGAGCGATTTAAATCCTTCAAGGATTGTTATATAAGTTAAGTCATATAAGTCATATAATAGACTTTAATCAGATGCATATCAAGTTTTTATGTCATGCTAGACAAATAAGATATCGAAAACGGATTACACATATAATTGACTTTATACTTTCAAGTGTTTGAACTACATGTCCAAAACCACATGTCTTTCATATGAAACCAATTCCATTTGAATTGTGTCTCTTCTATTTGGCCAATATTTTTGTGTCTGTATTCGACAGACTTGAGGTCCTCATCTATACTTAGCGCTATGATAGATATCGTCAACAAACATTTTATATCGGTTCCAACCTCTTTATTTTCATAAATACATAACATATAGATCTTTTAATTCATATATTCAGGTACCTGAATCTCTCATGAGATTTTATGAAGTGTTATGTCACGTGATCTTCTATATCACTTGCCTCATTTATTATGATCATTTGTTCATCTTCTTTATCAAGAATTTTATTTGGAACTGATTTTTCTATATGCTTTAAGCGTTCCATGGACTTTGTCCTTCTAGGACTTAATAGGAACATTTACAATGAGAATATAGTTACTTTCTTTGGGTCAGCAAATGCGTCCAGCATACTTTGCATATATTGCAGATGAATTACTTTTTTATGAATTTTAAGTTCATATTATCTTTTACGAGGATCTGTATGTACAAATAATAATTCATTCCGCATAACTTTTTCTCAACTGTTTATCATGTCTCCCCCTCATGTTAGAAAAACTAACTCTCTTCCTCAATTTTAGGAACTCATCTTTGTGCATTATGGTGTTAATAAAAATATACACTGCACATTAATAATAATAAGATGGAATTATTTGGCTCCTAACCCTGAACCACTTGTGAGGGGAG